GTATGCCTTTATATATATATATATATATATATATAAACCTTATGTCCATTTGGCTACAATTCTTTGCCTTAACAACTGAGATAAAAGTTATGTCCGATTGCCTTAGGAAACCAAGAGCATGGCCACTGCAAAAGCGAAAGGAAGAAAAGCATAATAACCATCGTCGTCGGAGTAGACGGAGACCGTAGTTATTTTGTTATTAATACTGGAGATTTCATAACAATGTAGTGTTTTTTTCTTCTTCTCATGCATGTCTATGTGTCAGTATGAAATTTTTGTGTGATTACTGTTTTTAAAAGTTATTATACACAAATTAAGAAAGCTACTACAGGTAAAAAAAAATTACTAAATTTTAATTGTAGAAAAATGAAAAAGAAAAATTAAGTTTACCAATCACTATTTAAAAAACTTGTAACAGACTCCATTTAAAAAAAAAAATGAAGTTAAACAAAACTTCTATAAAAGTTATTATAAATTACAGATAAATTAAATCATGCACGTGATTAAACTGTGTGGGGAGCAAAAGACTTCTTGCAAATTTGCAATGTCACGGGTACTACTAACTGGGGTTTCATGTTTTGCTTCGGGACATATGAACGCTAGCATGAATAATGTGGTAAGAGAATCCAAATGTTGTTGCACGGTTCAGCTGGACATGGAACAGAATCCACGTACGTTAATTATGTGTGTGGATAGGATGGGAAGGAAAGTTCAAGGACACCGACGTAACGCATATATGCAGGCCGACTGAGCAGCATGGTTTTTGTCTACTGTCAGCGTCCATGTTCTCTAAAAATTGCAGGCTTTTCGAAAGTTCAACAGAATGATGAAGGAAATAGGCGGGCGTACGTATCAAAATGAAGTTCGTGCCTTCGTGGTGCTTTCATCGGTAGGCAGTAGGCTAGCTTGTTGCATTATTATATTTGTTGGGAATTTTACCCTCTTCATCATCACAGGCTTTGGAAAAATGTCTGTTGGAATTTAACTCACCAACATGGCAACACCAATGTATAGAATCAAAACGACATTAATTGTACTTTCTTTAGTTGAATTAAGTTGTCTCAGTTTTACTTTTAAATAAAATTTAATCAAATAATTTTATATAATAAATA